AATTTCATTAATAACATCAGTAAAAAGCCACATTAATTCTGTAATCAAATTAATATTTCGACTTTCTATTTTCTTATGAACATACAGAAACTGAAAAACGCAAAAACTAGCAAGCAAAACAAACTAAAAATCACATTTTTGGGGTCATGTATCATATATTTAAATTATATTATAAAAAAATACAACCAAAGTATAATGTATCTGGGTCTTGTTAAATTGTGCATGGAAGATGATTTGAAGCCAATGGATAGAGAACAACTTAGGGAGTGTGCTCACAAGATGGTAGACTTCGTTTCTGATTACTACAATTTGAAGCTAAGGTACAGGCAGCAAAGCACCAACGGATCTGATTTGGTTCATTGGTTTAGTGGACGAGTGTTTTGTAAGTTTGGTTTCCAATTTTTAATTTTAATGTGCAGTGTTAGAGTTAGGTTACTGAGTTAAGGGTTTATTAGTAATGTTAATTGGACCAGAATTTTAGGAAAGCGCAATTGTCTAAATTGCCCAATTAATTTTGGGAAAGACTAATGGAAAGCTCAATTGCCCAATTAATTTTTTTTAACGGGTAATCGGTTCAGGGTGGGCACTATCGCTAAATACCATAACCTCCCCACCCCGAACCGGGTCATTAAAATCAAAACCATAACCGCCCCATTGCACCATCGATTCGATTTTTTTCGCCCCATTCGGTTCGGTTAACCGCGATTTTCGGTTTTCACAATTCGAATTGCCATCCCTACCACCACCCTATCGATCAGGGGACTATTCCGACTACCGTTCCGGACTTATCTCCAGTGACTGTTCCGACGACTACTCCGATTCCGACGACTATTTAGATGATCGTTCCGCCGCCATTTTTTTCCTGCGTCTGTTCCGATTCCGGCAATTGTTTCAACTCTGACGAAAATTTTTAGGCACAATTCAAAATTTTCATATGTCACAATTTATTCATCGATCACAGATTACAAAATTTATAAGTCACAATATTTATTTATGGTCACAAATATCACATTAATTGAACTTAAATTATATTCAGGTCACAATTTATCAAATTATTGGTCACAAATTAATAATTTTTAGATCACACATCATGTATTGGTCACATATTATCTAATTCATTGATCATATATTGTGTATTGGTCACAAACCAACCAAATCATTTGGGACTACCACTTTGCTAGTGCCTCCACCAGGGTACCACCACCGTCGCACCATCGCCTTACGCATGACACCTAACCGCACTATCACCTCCGCTGTTAGCCACCACAACCAATCAACGAATTGCAGCGAACGGCGGCGTCCAGACATACCGTTACGCACCGTGCAACCGCACTCCACACCTCCACCAAAACACATATCGCATTTCCACCACCACCACCACCACCACCGCGCCCACCACACCCAACCACACCGTTTGGCGAAAACCACCACAGATCTACAACCATTAACAAAAATCAGACACACAACCACCACACCATCGCACACACACCCAACAACACCGTTTGACAGAAACAACCACAAATCTGCAACCATCGACAAAAATCAAACATACACCCACCGCACCCACCCACCCACCCACCCACACACACCCAACAACACCGTTCCGATGAAACCACCACATATTTGTAAATATCGGCAAAAATCAGACAAACAACACGATAAAAATGAAGGTGGAGGCAGCAGCACTTATTTCTCCCGGGGACGGGAAGAACCGTGGTACTGGTGAATCGACGCCGTTGGCGACATTGTTTTGTAGTGAAGATGTTGGGGGAGTAAGTGGAGGCGTTGTTTTGTAAAGGAGGAAGCAGCGACGAAATCATCGACAGCCGAGGGTGGAGAGAGAGAGAAGACGGGAGAGAGGAGGAGGGGAAGAAGCGACGACTGGTTCAAATGATTTTAGGGTTTGGGTTCAAATGATTTTATTGTATATAGATATAGAAATAAAAAAAAATGTTTTAAAATTATTAATTAAAACCTTATTTTTTGAAATGTTAAACTTGTGAGCTGATTTGTGAAATTGGAAATTTAATTCCAGGTTTAGGTGTAATTTCCTCTTTATTTTTTCACTCTTTGAAAGATAAAAAAATCCGGGTCGACTTTTGGACCCGCATTCCATTTTCAGAAACTATGGGGGCAATCCGAAAACCCTCCAATTGTTTAGGGATCATTTGACAATTTATACATGTTCTTCTTCTTTGTCCTGTAACGGTTAATTCTGTAACTCGTACCGCCGCCAGAATCCTCCAGCCCAAAAGGTATCTATTTTCTTCCTTCTACTGGCTGGGTGTGAATTTAAACTTGCGAGAGATTTTCTGCTTTAAACTAATTAGATTTCGTTTATTCTATTTCAGATTTGGTATTTTACTGGTTGTTGTGTTATTCTTCAATATTTAATTTGAATTGTTTTCAAGATGATATCAAAATGAATTCTTGAGTCAACTGTGTTGTAAGTGTTGGGTGGACGAATTGGAATTATTGGAGAGTTTTGCTTCCGGAAGTTACTACTGAAAACCCAGTTCCACATCTTGCCGATGAATATATCAGCGGCTTCACCATGGACCAGGGGTTTTAGGTTTTAATTCTAACTTAGGATACAAATAAATTTGAATTTGAATTTAGACTTTTTTCCCATCAGTTTCCATAGCATGGATCAATTTTTTAGGTTATAAAACTTGCTCAGTTTTACATTCGCAGCTCATGGAGATTGTCTGAAAGCAAAGAAGCTAGAAAGGGGTTTTTTACCTTTGCACTTTGAATGTAGACTAGTCAATAAAATATATCTTGCTGGCTGTTCTGCTTCTGATATTTTCGGAATTGTTTATTGTGATTGTTAATACCATTGACTTCCAGCTACCCTTGATATGTGAACTACTTCATAACGGGGATCAAGTTAGAAGAAATGGAGAGCTCCATGGTTCTGATCAAGCAAGGAGCTGAAGCTGTAAGTTGGTAGTTGTTTATTTTCCTGGATTGTTGAAGAACTATAGTAGCCTTGCAAGCTTTTGGCTGCTATTGTTTATTTTGTTATTTTTAAAATTGTATTGGCCTATAAAATAAGAACAAGAAAAGGTGAAAAGAAAAAAACACTTTCATGCAGTTTCATATTCCTTGGCGATCAATCTCTATCAATTAGTTAATATGGACTAACTTTATCTCCTTATGATTGGCAATTTCATCTTGTATCTTATTTAGAGAGTCTTCGAGTCAAAATTTGTCGATAGGAGGTCTATTGTCAAGGAACGCTTTTCGAAGAAGTATAGGCATCCATCTTTGGACTCAAAGCTCACACTTAAACGCTTAAATGCGGTTTGTGTTTCTAAATCAAGTCACTTCCTTTTGTGATAGTTAATTATCATAGTTGGCTGTTTGTTGACTTCAGAATTTAAATGTTGGAGCAGGAGGCAAGGTGCACGACGAAAGCTAGGCGACTTGGGGTTCCCACTCCAGTGCTTTATGCTGTTGATCCTTTGTTGTATACCTTAACCTTCGAATATGTTGAGGGTCTCTCAGTGAAAGATGTATTCCTTGACTTTGGATTACATGGTACCGTTGAAGAACACATGAATGATATTGCTACTCAAATTGGTGATGCAATTGGCAAACTGCATGATGGTGGCCTCATCCATGGTGATTTGACGACATCAAACATGTTAATTCGGAGTGGTACCAATCAGCTGGTGGGTTATTTTCTCCATCAGTTGTTTATACATGTTGTTTGATCTTGTTATCTACTTTTATGAGCATCATTTACTTTTCTTGAGGATCATTTTATAAAATTCATCTATTCTACTTTGTCAGTACTTGCTCGTTTCCATTCCATTATTTTCATTTGGGATGAGGGTGTGAACCCCATGCAATTCCTTCCGTAAGTTGTATATAGTTGTTGATTCTGTTTTTATCTTCTCACAGGTACTCATTGATTTTGGTCTAAGCTTTACATCAACCCTTCCAGAAGACAAAGCAGTTGATTTATATGTACTTGAACGAGCTTTGCTCTCTATGCATTCTTCATGTGGAAATGTGGTGAGCATCCTTATCTACCATACATTTTTTCAAGATGCCACACTTGATTGTTGAGGAGACATAAGAAAGCAAAAAAAAAAAGAGTCAATGCAACTATTTACTCTCTTTGTGGGCAAAAGATAATTATGGCTTCATGTTATTCTTTTGCCACTGATTTGTCATTTAGTTGTAGTACAGTCTTTATTATATATAGAGCCATGGAAGATCAAGCGAACTTGAAATTCCACACCTTTTCATTTTTCTTTTTCTTTTTCTTTGTTTTTTGGTTTGGGGTGGTTGGTTGGGTGGGATTATGTTTGTAATTTAAAGAATTATAGACTCAAGTTGTACAAGACAACTGCAGAACTGGTATGCAAGTATTTTATCAACACATGGGAGTATCTCTGACTCTTTGCAATAAACTGTAGTTTTTATGCTGTTGTCAACTGATATATGTTTTTCCATACTGATTCATAAATAACCAACTGTTTACCTTTATTTATTGATTAAAAGAGGCACTTGAATTCAAATTGATCTTTTTATAATTTTTGCATAGATGGATAGAATACTTGCTGCATACAGGAAGTCCTCAAAGCAGTGGTCATCAACTTTAAATAAGCTAGCCCAAGGTACCCGTCAGTTTAGACATTTATTCCTATTAGTTCTTTTGAGTCCAACCNTGTAATTTAAAGAATTATAGACTCAAGTTGTACAAGACAACTGCAGAACTGGTATGTAAGTATTTTATCAACACATGGGAGTATCTCTGACTCTTTGCAATAAACTGTAGTTTTTATGCTGTTGTCAACTGATATATGTTTTTCCATACTGATTCATAAATAACCAACTGTTTACCTTTATTTATTGATTAAAAGAGGCACTTGAATTTAAATTGATCTTTTTATAATTTTTGCATAGATGGATAGAATACTTGCTGCATACAGGAAGTCCTCAAAGCAGTGGTCATCAACTTTAAATAAGCTAGCCCAAGGTACCCGTCAGTTTAGACATTTATTCCTATTAGTTCTTTTGAGTCCAACCGAAAACACATGATGTTATATGTGCTATTCTAATTTTGTTTCCTTTTCTGTTGGTTTTCTGATGACCTATTCCAGTGAGACAAAGGGGAAGAAAGCGCACAATGGTGGGTTGAGCTCTGTTAATTATGTGCTCCACACACTGGTAAAAACTGAAACCAAATACTCTTGTTACCGATTTTCTATTTGTATGTTCATAAATATCTTTATTTAGTAATTAAAGAAAGATCTTAATTTGGTGATTAAGGATTCCAGTACCACGTTGTCCAGTTTTATGAACTTGTATTTCTCCAATCACACGGAATAATATGCTTTCCTTTTATTTCTATGAAAATCGGGTTCTTCAGTGGATGATTGGATAAGATACAAGATACCAAATAAAAGAAAAAAAGGAATATTTCAATTAGGAGACGGCACAATCCTGCATATACGTGCCGTTAGCATTATGATTTATAAAAAACATTAGTCATTTTGGTTCGACCTGCATGCCCTACCCCGGCCATGCCCGAGAAAGAAACTGAAGAAAGAAATTTGTATGTAGTAGGGTTGTTTCACTACATATCTTTAGCATCTTTCTCGAAGTTATGTGGACCGTTGTGACTTTTGCATCTAATATTGTCTGTCTTATCTCTAGTTTTGTCATAGAAGACGTCTCATTCTTATCTATTTTGTCGTGCAAAAATGTTATCAGGTTCGAACAGGAGACGGGAAATGGGTGGAGAAGATGCGGAAGCTTTTCGTACCCTTGCTGTTCTAGTAGTTTTCTGGGAATGTGATTTCGAACACTCAAGGGAAAACCTCATCCATGTGTTTTATTGTGAATTTATTAGTATTTCCGCAAGTAGTTGGAATGTGATTCTGTTCCATTTCAAGTGGTCCTGTTTATTTAACTTTCGATATGAACTTGCTATTTAATTCTAACTAGAAATAGCAAAATTTATAGTTGTTCCAACATTTATTCTCAGCTGCATGTCAGTTCATCATATTAATTTCTGCTGGCTGCCTTGTGATCTATCACAGTGGTCCTGGTGCCAATAATTTCAATGGGCTGTCAACATTGATATACATCGTTCGGTTCTCGATCATCCAACGAAAAACTGTATGTCCTTACGAATTCCCGATTTCTAATGTAGTAGAGACTTGTGTCTTTGGCTCTGGGAGAACTTCACTTATAGATAACCTATAGAGCTTTGCTTTAAGATAACTCGGTCAAGTGCTCTTCTTCGGAAAGGGGAGTTGCTTGTCTTACCACACCCACCACCTTAGCGCAGGAAGTTTTAGCAATGGGAAGATAGGCAAAGGAAAAAACCATAGCTATGAAGCTTTGTGACCTGATTGGCCATAGTGTCTTTGATCATACCGGAATGGGGAAGACAAGAATGACGAGTGCATGTTTGATATTCAATATGGAATATTATAATACACGATATTTTAACTCTTTTATTTTTTATGAATTAAGCTAATTTGCCCAGGTTGACTTAACCTGTGAGACCGACGTGGGACCCGCATGAAATAAAAAATGAAAAAAAATGCTTCCCTCCCTCCGATGTGTGTGTTGTGTCAGGACACCCTCCTTGACACTGCAGCTCGGTTCATTTTTTATTTCTTCAATACCATCCAATCTTCTTTGCTCGTCCCCCCTTTCTATTTCACTTTTTAATGGTTGACTCCATGTAGATGTTTGTAAAAATGTCATGCTATGAAAAGTGTCGGTTAAATTTAGAAATGCAACATTCGACTTTTTATCAACACAACTTCTAAACACATACGAAAATGACAAAACATGTTTGGCTAAGCTTGAAATTATAAACTATTCTTTAGAGAAATTTTAATTTCAAATGTTTCTATAGGCTACTTTGTTCGATTCCCATTTTTTCTATTTTTATTTTTCTTCTTTTTAACAACACATTTTTCAATAAAATAATATTACATATAATTCAAAAGTTTTTCCTTTATTTTTAATTATACATTATTCATCAATTTATTATTCCAAAACATATTCTATACCAAAAATGGGGTTGAAATAGTCCCATATTTACAAGCGAGAAATTATTTATCTTGAAAGTAAAATATTAAGGTCTTGTTTGATTGTAACGAATTTTATGGAAAATGTCACATTCGAGGAAAATGAATTTCACTTTGGCCGTTTGATTGCAAATCAAACGTGGAAATTGAAATCGAATTCTAAAGTACAACAATTTTAAACTGCATTTTCTTTGATTTCATAGAAAACGAATTCCTATGTGTTTGGTGAATTTTAATTTTTCAACTAATATGGAATTGAAATTCCTTTCCACCTTTACCTATCAAACGGACCCTAATAATATCTACGACAGAGAAAACAAATATTTATTTTAAACTTATATAAGTAAAATTTTAAGCTTAACAATGTATGTATTTGTGTACCTCTCCCGCCAAAATATGCCTTTCCATTTCTGAAGAATTTTGAGGCTTGAAACCCTAACAATGGATGCTCTGTACAACACGCATGTCAAGCTCCTAGCTTTCGACTTCCTGAAGCTCACCCCGCACCCCATGGATCCCTCAACCTTCTCTCGCAAAGGCACGCGCCTCTCACGTGCCGAGACTATCGGGTTCGTGGTAACCCGGGATCTCAAACCCAACAAATTCCTAAGATTCACCATTGATGATGGTACAGGTTGCATCCCTTGTATCCTTTGGCTCAACCAGCTCAATTCTCCTTACTTCTCAAGGCGTAACCCATCAGATGTTCGGTTAATTGCCGATTTGGCGGCGAAATTCGCGTCAGAAATCCAGCTTGGGGTTTTTGCAAGAGTGCGCGGAAGAATCACAGGATTCAGAGGTATGGTTCAAATTACGGTTTCTGATGTGGTCATAGAGAGGGATCCTAATTCCCAAGTTCTGCATTGGTTGGATTGTATTAGATTGGCTCGTAAATGCTATGATAAACTTTGTAAGAATACTGTTTGATAACTAGAAACACTAGAATCAAGTTTTGGATATGAGGATCATGTTTTGTATTGTTGAATTGCCATTCTGGGCCAGTTAAATTGGTTCGTGTTGTTTTCATTGCAATTCCATAGTAATTTTATGAGGATTTCAGTTTTCGTGGATTATACATTTTTTTTTTGGTATATAATAGTGTTTTACTAGGTGCTATTTATAATTACATAATAGTACCTAAAGTGAAATACGTATAATTTCTTTCTCCTCGTTCCCTAACACCCCGTGTCTGGGGCGTAAAGGGGTTTGATTTTGGTGTTTTTCAAGACAGATGCTTATCACCATTAAGTGCAAAAACAACCAAGCCCTATTCTCTATAATCTTGGAGCAAGTTATATGAATCTTCTCTTGCCATTCAGTTCTATTAATTATTAAATCTTTATTGCAAATACAACAAACTAAGTCTTATTCTCAGAGCTTGTTTGGGAGGGATTTTAATCCAATTAAAATTGAAAATATAGCCGTTATTGGTTCCCACTCGTCTAATGAAAGTCAATAATAACGACTAGTTTTTCAATTTTAATCCCTTCCAAACAAGCTCTCAATAAATTTGGTGTGAGTTCTATGAATCATTTTCCGCCATTCGGTTCTGTAATTATTAAATCTACTACGATAGGCGTGTTAGTTTTGTTGTACTCCTTCCCTCTAGTGACTTGCTTGACCAAAACTAACGAACCCAATTAACTGCTTCGACACATATACAGAGAAATAACGTACAGTTAAGGGTGAAGTAGATTGGGAGTCTCCCTTGGGGGTGGACATGGTCCTGGGTTGCAGACCCAAGAATCATCCTGCTGCACCAACCCAGCAATTTATTGTGATATATCCAATCATCATAGACATACCCTTTAAGTGTTTGCTACATATAGAAATAACTGTATTGTTTGATTAGGCATTGGCAGAATGTGTCTACCCCATTTCCCCTTTGCTAGTAAAATCCAAAGCCTAGGTGAATGTATGGATAGTGGATCCAATGTTTTCTTTACAAGAAAACCACATGAAAATATCTCGTGTTCTTTTATTTGAGTTCATCTACTAGTTGATTTTGTATGTACGGGCTTGTGTCCTTTTGTTATATGTCGAAATAGGAGACGTTTTAATCGGTAATTGTTCGACAACTTCCTGCCAACATCAAGTATGATTGACGTTGAAAATCTACAAACGGGAATGGAGTTATTGCTAGGTCACTTGCAAACCTGCAAAACAGACACCAGGTTAGTTTTCTTTTGTGAAAATCAATATCTTGTCTTTCCAAGTGTTAGGTGACTAGGTGAGTAATTAGGAACTTTCAATAATTTCATCTGTACTATTGTTATTGAAATTATAAGATCAAAACATCCATATTTTATTGTGTAACAAAGCAAGGCTGGATGCAAGTATTTTACTCTATTGACTATAGTTGGGTGCAGCATATGTGTCACCAAACTCTTGACTTTTGGTAGGTGAAACCAATTCAGCAAGATAACATATTTCAATTTGAATTTAGGTATAGAAATTGGGCAGTTGATAAATAAAATAGATCAGTTTGTGGTGGCAACAACTGGAGATATCTCAATATTCAAGAATCATCCATGTCCATTTCCTGCAAATAAGTAAAACAAATAAATAATAGCCTAGTTGCAAAGTGGTAGTTATGGTTGAAGGAAGATATAAACATAATGAAAAAGACAGGCAAAAAATGATTTGATGGGCTATCTAAGAAGGTTTGATATAGGATAGGAAAATGAAAGGCAGGAAATATGGTGATAAGATTTTCTGGCTAGGTCAATGCTAAAAATAAAATTCACAAGTTTTTGGTGAAAACGTGTGCCTCATTTTTACACCCTTTGGTGAAAAGTTTCACATCAATTTGAACAGGTCTTTTTCTTTATATTTATAATATTTGGCTTTCTTGTGTTGGTTGATGTGCATTTAAGATTTTTGTTCAGCCAATTCAAATGGAAACTGGCAAACTATCTTCCTTTTCTTTATCTTATTTGAGTTGGGAATTTTCCTCCGCCTATTTTTTTTCATGGTCCGTTTCAACATGTTGACAGTGACCCTAAAATTTTATTACATGTATGATATGAATCTGTATACATATTCATATTGGGACATCCATGCTTGAGATGTATATGTAGCAATAAACTAAAGAGAATACTGTTAAGGAATTTCCTAGTTGACATTGGGGAGTAGATTAGGGGGTTTTGTACGGACCCAAAAGTCAACTGTAAAAGAAGAATTGGAGGCGAACTCATTATTCAGTTATTAGCAATGTTAAAAAAATTCCAAAAGATTGTGCTTTTGATCGAGTATGCAAGAAGCATAAACTTTTTCAAAAAATTGCATAAAACTCAATAACTAAATGTTTGTTTGGTACATAATATTAGTTAAAGACGGTCAAGGAAATTTAAATTTTCTTTATAACAGTGTAGTTTACCTTTTAGAACAAGTAAAAGAAAAAGATAATGGAAAATCTGTGAGGAGAGAGTAGAAGTGACAAGAAAAGATGTTTGGCTTAAGCTAGAGGTTAAAAGCTGAAAATCAGAAAATGGCAAACAACTCTCAAGAATATGAAAGAGATACTTTGCTCATAGTACAAATCAAATTCTCTTCGGCCTTGTTTAATAGGGTTTATTTTTCATGGAAGTTGGAAATTATTTTCTATATTTCAAGTTATTGCACGTTTGATTGGCCAAAAATTCCATGGAATTGGTTTTCCTTCTTAAGCCCCACGTGACCCCCTTTTATTGTTTTTCCTTGAATTGGTTTTCCCACCACTTTGGTGGGAAAATAGTTTTCTAGGTTTTTTTTTTTTTTAAATTTTTAACAATTGAAACAAATTATATTCCTTTATTGGACAATTTTCATGGAAAACAAAGTCAAACGAACACCAAAATATTCAAAATTTCAGTATTTTTCAAGTGAAAAATTATAGAAATCAAACACAATTAATCGACAATTCTCAGTAAAACAAATTCTAGGCAATTCAATTTTCTGAAATTTATTTTCTTTCCATCCAAATTCTATTCTTGCAATCAAACGGATCCTTCAATCCTTTGTCTACCCAATATTTCTCCTAAACTGAAATACTAAGTCTACTTCATTTTCTATCAATTTATTCGATTTATTGTTAGATATGATAAGAAATCTAAAAAATAATTAAATTCCTAACGACCATGGTATATCATATTAGTGGTTTATCAATCTATCTATCGTTTGACATGTTCTATTAAGATTGTGTCACATGTCAATATAGGCCTAGACAACACAAGATACCGTTTTCTTAGTTTCGTATGTTAGTGTCAGATTTACTTACTGACGTATATTCTCATTCTTTATCTTAGCTATTTATAGTATTATCACGCATTTATGTTTGTACGTTTACACAAATTTTTAACAGATAGACAACCACCCACAATTTTTTTGTAAGCATATAGCTCATTTGATAATGACATTTTGTTTTATGTTTTTTTTTCATTGTCGGTACAATGCATTATAGTACAAATTTAGAAAATGTTTTCCCAAAGTGCATTGGAAAAAAATGTTCACCTCTATTTGTAAACGCAACATAGCTTGAAATTTCAACTATTTGAGCATATGAAGATGCGATTTTCCTTTCAATAATTGAAAATGGCTGTTGAAACTTGAAATGATCCATCATAATTGTCCCCACGTTATCAACGTATGTGCTTTCAATTGATTTCTATTTGAAATAATCCAAGTTGTGACATGAGTTGATGGCTTCCACAAGTTTGACAAATCTTCATTTATTATACTAATTAATCGCTCATGTTATGTTTGTCTATATTTTTATTGATTTAGTGAATTCTTCTATCTGAATAGACTATCAAATCGACTTGACAAATATCTTTATTAACTTAAGTCATTTGTAACGAAACATGTAGTATACGTACAAGACACAACCAGTAATATAACATGAAATAGGCTTACGAGTCTTATTTTTTCTACAAGAAAAAGATAATAGAGATGCCACGCAAGAAAAAAAAAAGTTGAGTAAAATTCCCCGTGGTTCATGTTCGTAAAGCATACCTATGCATTAAAAAACCGATGTTTGGAAATCGGGATGGACATTGACATAAAAAAGATAAATGATCAAATGATCGAATTGATAGCGAAAGAATTGTATAATTAAATAAAAACAAAATTTTGGAACTAAAAACCACTAAATTGGAGATGATCTATGGTAAACACGTCAATTTTGAGAATACTTTAATCGATTTTAAATTTGTAACTTTTATATAGTAGGATTGAATTTGAGACCTCCTCTTGATTTTCTTGTCAAAATGTTATGTTCGGATGTAATATTTTTACTAATGATTGGAAGATAATCCAATCCAATCCAATCATAATCTTGCTCCCATTCTCCTTTGCATCAATATTCATTCCTAACATAACAAACAAACAAAAGCACGTAGCCTACCAAATAATCCACCTTGTAATTTTTTAAAATTTCTTTATTGCAAATTAAATGGCATGGGAAACAATATGGGAGGCCACAAACAAGTAAATCTAGTGCATGTTTGGCTAAGCTTATAGAAAGTACTTATAATTAAGTTTAACCTAACTAAGTAAGCAAAATTTATAGCCCCCGTTTGGTACACATTTTTGAAAAAAGAATGCATTTTTATTAATGATGTGATGAAAAATATGTGGTTTAAAAAGAAGGAAAAGTTANGAGTATTACATAAAATAAGTTCGAGTTACTTTTGAAATTAGCCAAACATGTAGTTAGATGATTCTTGAATCCTATAGTAGAATTGGTGGACCGAATCTACTATGGATAGGGGTTTGTTAGGGAATCCTAATTGGGAGATTATTTGAACTAATTAATCCCTCATTGGAGTGTTTTGCCGTCAACTTAATTAGTTTAATCCTTGGATTAATTAAACTAATACACCTACTTCATTTCAAATAACCTTGAAATTATGAAAATAGAGACCAAGTTTGGGACCAGACACAGTCTC